GGTGGGGGCGGGGGGCGCCGCACCGGGCGCGAGGGGGGAGCGCGGGGCGGGCGGCCGGAGCCCGCAGCCCCCGGCTGCGAGCTGGGGCCGGGACGCAGCCCGGGGCGGGGGCGGGGCGGGCCGGGGCGGGGCGGCCCGCGGGTCTGGGATTGGGGGGTCTGGGCTAGGGGAGGGGTCTGGGGACCGCGGGAGGGGCGGGGGGCGGCCAGTGGGGGCGCCTCCCCCCATCCCCGGGCTGACCCCTCGCGCGCTCTAGGGGTCTGGACCCGCGGGGGTGGGGGGCGGCTCGGGCTGGGGCTTCCTGGCCCGCGGGGTGCGCCGGGGTCGCAAGCTGCCGAGTCTCCGCTGTGGGGCCGGGGCCGCTTGCGCCCCAGGCTGGGCGGCGGGTGCGTGAGCCACCTACTGTGTGCTTCAGCCGTGCATGCCCCTGGAGGTGGCCGCCAACGCGAGAGTGAGTGGCTGTGCGGCTCCCCGGCGGCCCGGCAGTGAGTGCGTCTGCGACCCGGACCGACCCCACACTCACGGGGACCGACCCCGACCTTTCTGCCGAATAACCCTGCTCGCGGGTCTCTCCTGTCTCACTCCGTCTCCAAGAAGACCTTAAGAGCGAGAAATGTCCCCTCCATTATCAGCATCACCCCTGCCTCCGTCCCACACGCTAGCCTGAAGCCTGGGAGGAACCATGAGCACCTATGTGGGGGAGCCTCGAGGTCCCTGGCAGGACCCGTGGTCGCTGCCGCCCTCCCAAAGCTGCAGCAGAGGGGGCCGAAAGATCTGTCAGCTGCTTTTCCTGGAGAAGAGACTTAGATCCAGGCCGCCTAGTCTTTCCCTCTCAGAGTCTCATTACTTGTGCACTTTGGCATTTACACACCTACCAGACTAGATGTGGACTAGTGCTTTGCGTCAAAAGTGGGGTGCAGGTGGGAGGATCGCCAAAGGAGGTAGTGTTTAACCCCCTCCCAGGCCCTCACCTCATTGCCTTCCCCCAGGGGCTTCTGGAACCCCTGAGCCATAGTGAGGTGGGGTTGGGCAGAGATGCCCTGGGACACATACTTCTGAGGAGCAGGTGGATCCCCTGATGCCCTATCCAGATGCTGCAGTCGCCCATGACCTTCGCTGCCCCAGTGGCACCCCAGGTCCTTGGGAGTTGGACTGGAAGGCTTGGGATGGTCCTGGGAAGCCATTAGGCCAGAGGCAGTAGGCAGGTCCTTGTTCAGCAGTACAATCAGGTGCTGCCTACCTCTCCTTTCTCTGTGCCCCACCTGTCCCAATGCCCCACCTGTCCCAGCCATAATGCTAACACTGAGCGATGCATAGATAGGAAAACAGTCAGAGGACTTGTCTGAAGACCTTATCCTTCTTCAGAGAAGGAGACTCCACGGGCCTGGCCCCCCCTCCAGGAGTCTGTTCACTCTGCTGGCTCCTGTACACAGACTTCCAGGCAAGAACAACATCTTTTGGATCAGAACTTGCAGCTTACAGCACCAAGCTGGGCAGGGTGGTTCTGCAGTTGGTGTTTGATGAATGAATAATGAAGAAATTGGCTGAGCATTTAGACCTCAGCCCATGAGTGGCTGCCCCAGGAAGACTTGCCTTCAGACAATAATCACAAGCACCACTATTTATTAGCACTTGTGTTTGCTAAAGGCTGGACGTGCACGGTCTCCTCTTAACCCCACTAAGGGGTGAGCGCATAAGAAGGGAGATGGGTGAAGTGGGCTCCAACCAGGCCTTTTCCCTACTGTCCATCTCTGTCTTAGAGGCCTGCAGGCCACTTGCTGAGTGTCTGCCTCCCCAGCTATAACTGCTTCAACAGGAGGATGCTCACCACCTTAAATGCATGCCCTGCACATAGTAGGCTCCTGAAAATATTTATTTGTGTGCATAAATGAATGAATGGAGAGACGGAGAGCAGAGGGTGGAAAGGGCCTTCTCCCCACCAGGAACCCAGCCCTCTGAAAACAGTCTGGATGAGAACAGCATGGAGCAGGACCCAGGCAGGAGTCAGGGCAGTCTAGCCCATTCTTAGTGTGCATAGTTTTGGAGCTACAACTAGAGTCATTCTGAGCACTGGCCCATCCCTGGAGTGGGGATGGAGGCCAGAGATCATCTGACTCAGCATCCAACCTTGGTTCTGGAGCTCCCAGAAGGTTCTGAAATCCCTGAGCTGAACCTCAATGATCTTAACCCACTCTCTTCCCTTCCCCAAAGGAGATGGACATCCTGGGAGGGACGTACAAGTGTGGAGGTCAAGGTTTTAGTATTACTTTAACCTCTACGGAGGAGAGGGGCCTATCTATAGGACAGAATTCCTTTACATTGGAGAACTTCCCCTAAAATGAACCCTCATCATTTTGGGAGATTCTTCTCACCTCCCCAAAAGTCTATGTTTTGGTGTTGGGGGGTTGGGGCAGGAGGGAGAAGATGGGGACACCTTCACATAGGGCACTGGGTACTGCCTGGGCACGCCCCATGAGTGACAGATGCAAATATTCCACAGGGGCCCCAGCAGGCCGCTCTCTCCCTCCCTCCTCGCTTGCTCGCTTCCCGGACAGCTCGCTCCTTCCTTTATCTTATCAAAGCCCCGTAATTACAATTGCTATTTTGTTTCCTCGAATCTGCAATCAGAGCTCTCGGGCCCTGATGAGGGAGCGCCTGTCAACCTGATCGCTGAGTGACAGCCCGGCCACCTTTCCCGGCTGCCCCCACACTCCGCAAACACAAACACACACACACACACACACACACACACACACACACACACACACCCTTCGCCCCCTGCAAACACACACACACACTCCTTGCCAACATAAACAGCCCCTCTCCGCAAACACGCCCTCGCGGGGACCCAAACACACACCTTCAGCCTCTTTCCAAATGCATCCCGTCCCCCGACCAACCCTAGCCCCTCAAATCCGCACACCGCGAGGACTGCCGCTCGCTGCACCGCGCGCCTCCGGCGTCTGGCGTTCAAAGCGCCGCTGTCTCCACCGACTGTTCAGATGCAAATCGCCGAGACTACGTTAAGTACTTTAAGCCCCTGGGAGTCGTCTCCCCTCGCCCCCCAGATACAGCCCTGCCCATCCTCCCGCGGTCTGCCAACCCCTGCGTACACCTTCGTCCCTCGGTACTCCGAGGTCAAAGCAATTGGCAGGGGCCCTACTGTGCGCTGTGCTGGCCGAAGGGGCAGCCAGGAGAGGCGGGAAGGGAGAATAAATAAATGCCCAGCTCTGTCCGCCAGGAGCCTCTTCAGGCTGGGAAAGTCCTGGGAGAAGGCGGAAGATGTAGATTGGGCCCCCACTGCGGGCAGAAGCGCGCTCGGTGCCTGCCTGGGCCTCTGGGAGACCCACCGAGGAGACAGTCAAGGCTTACAATGAGCGCTCAGGGGCTTCGCACGGGTAAATATCCGAGCAGGGCCACGCACAGGGGGTTGATGGGTGGGTTAGGGAGGCACCCCCCCAGACATGACTTTTCGTTGCACTCAGCCAGCCTCCCGCGCCCCCAGCCACGCACGTGCGGGAGACTCTGGAGGTTATAGGTGAGACGAAGAAGGGAAAGGCTCTAACAGGAGCTTTTTTAGCGAATGAATGAATGAATGAATCAAGCAAGCAAGCAATCAACCAAAGAACGAATGCAGTCAGCCTCAGGGACTTACTCCTCGCTTTCTGCCTAAACTTCGGCATTCCAGGCCACTCGCGGGCGAGACCACTCACGTAGCTCCTGGGAGGCCGCAGGGGAGCCACACGGTCACAGGCGGTTTCAACCTCGCCCACTAGAGGGCGCCAGCTGCAATTCCCCCTCCCTCGCGACCCGCCATAAGGTGAATGGTCTCCAGCCAGGCTGCCCCACTACGCTGGTTCCCAAAGGAAGCACTTTAGGAAAGAGGAGAAAGGGTTTGCGACCCTGATCGCTGCGGCACAGACGTCACCTTCCTTTATCCTCAATTTGAGAGAAAATGAAAATGAGAGCTCCTCATCAAGGAGAGGGTGGAACCGACTCCAGGGATGTGTTGAAGCAGGAATGCTTTCCCGTGTTGTGGGACACTCTCCAGTTTCCCTTACATGCCCCAATACTAGCCCCTTCAGGTCACCTAGGGACCCCTCCCGCTCGTTCCCTCATTTGCCCAGCAACCAGCGTGAGAGGGAGTGGGCTTGGCCCCACCACCCCACCAGGCACTATACTCTGTCCACCCTCAGCATGTCTGGCCCCAGGCTGTCTCAAGAGTTAAACTTTTGTTTGTTTGTTTGTATGTGGAACATTGAAATCCTGCCCCCGCATCACAGCTGCTGAACTGCTGACCCCAGAGTTGGTCACATATACACTAATGCTCACACCAGGTACTTCCCTTTCTCCTCCTGGCATAGCAGCAGTCAAATCCCAGAACACCTTATTACAGGCACCAGAGACCCCCAGAACCAGGTGATGTGCTGGGGGCCAGGAACCACTTAGCCCAGGAGGCTGAATCCCAGGGGCCTCTCTCTGCCCCCATATGCCAGGCCACCCGGATTCTGGTTTCTCTGTCACCCAATCTGGCCAGCCCCCTCCATCTGGCCCCCGGAATCAGGTTTCTAAGGGCCCAGACCCGCTCAGAGACAGCCTGCAAGACGAAGGAGGGGCAATGACTGGCCTCTGCCTTACCCCTCACAGGCCCTCTCAGGGCCTGAGCCCCTTCATGGGGTTAGGGATGCACATTCCTCGGACTACTTAAGCCCCCTTATCTGCCCCCCTGCCCATCAGCCTGAGTGCTGACAGAGGCCCAGGTCCCTTGTTTGGATGCTGATAACCTCCTGGGATGGCCCTCCCCCACCTATGGGACTGGGAATGGGCTTGGTGTTGGGAGGTCCTCTTTTAGCAAGATAGTTGGGGCCCAGGCCTGGCCTCACCCTCACCCCCCCCCCCTCCTAGGGATAGCCTAGGGCCACCCTCGGTGCTGCCACAGTGCCACCTGGTGGTCCCTAGGGGAATGCCACACTAGCAGGTAAAGAAGTCACACAAGCGAGTTGCAAAACTCCACATCACTTTATTTAAGCCTTTATCCAAAAATGTAAAAAGTATTAAAAATGTGTAGTCCTGAGCTTCAAATGCTGATCTCCAATCTCATAGGCAAGTGGGGAGAGAGGGTGAGGATAGAAGTTCAGAGTTTCTCCCATTCATGGAGAAAAGGGAAGCCCCAGGTATGGCATAAGATTAGAAAAACACCAGGGTCCTGTGAAGGATAGGACCAGACTCTCTCCTAGCACCAGCTCAAGATCCCCCCACCCCCACCCCTCCTCTTCAACGGAGAAGACATATTTAAATTTCTTGAAACTTGTATAGGAACATGGTGCATGGCACATGTGGCAGGCAAACAGCGGACCTAAGGAGAGCAAACAAGGGGTCAGCATCTAGGCCTTCACCTGCTGGTCCTACCCCGTCCCAGACCTGGCTGGACACCCCTCCGACAACTCACCAAAGAGGCTAGAGCCTACCCCCCTGCTTCTTGGCAGGCAGGATGGGGCACAACTCAGCTTCCTCCTCACTACCTTCTTCTTCACTCTCTTCTTCCTCAGAAACGTCATTACTTATAGTAACTGGTGGACACATAAGCATAAGGAAGAGGTTAAAGCCAGACCCCCTTCATACCACATGCCATTTATTCATGCCCTGTGGCACTAAGCTTGCAGGGACCCTGACTTCCCAGAGCTGATGACCTGGGTGGGAAGAACCTCCAATACTAAGATGACAGAGAGCCAAAGGAGACCACATTAGTGGAGGTGGAGACACTGGGGCAGGTTTCATGCAGGAGGTAGGCTTGAAGACAGTGGATGGTATGGCCCATATGGGAGCTGCACTAGGAGATAAGGCTGGGATGGGGTAGGAGTGTGGACTGGGGTGGGAGACCTGACGAAGAATCCATTAGATCCAAAGGAGAAGACTCTCACCAATCTGGTGCCTCCCAGTGATCCGCACAGGGCCAGAACCTGACTTCAGGCGGAAGGTGACAGGTGGCTGAAGCTGGAAGTCATCCAAACTGAGCTGGAAGGAAGACAAGGATGAAGGCCTGGCCTGCCCCATCTTGTGATGAATCAGTCTGTCAGTCCTTCAGTCCTGGATTCCACACCACCTCCATCACCTGGTTGGGCAGAACTCACCATGGGTTGGCAGGACAACTTGAGGTTGGCCACAGGGACTGCAATCTCCTGGTGGTCGTGATTCCTGGCCACGACTTCTACTACGTTACACTCATCTTTGGCCCCCTCGGTGAGGCAGAGCTGGAAAGAGTACACAAGGCCTTAGGGTCTCCCCAAACAAGGGCTAACACAAGGGAAGGCATCTACCCTAGAACTTGCCCCACCCAAGCGGTCCCCGGGTCACCTCGCAAGAGAAGCTGCCTCTGTCAGGCAGAGGAGGTGACTCTCAGTAAAGGGGACTGGGGGGACGGGTAGAGGCCCCCGAGGTGCCTGCTCGGACCAGCTATTCACCACCCTTCCCAGCAAACCTCACCATGGTCAAGGCCAGCACATGCTCCGCATCATCCTCTTCCTCTACCTTGAAGGTGAAAGAGCGGGTGTGGCCGGAGAGCTCACAGCCTGGAAGAGGGAACGGTGTGTGTCTGAGTGTGCGTGAGGGGCGTTCCACCAAACCTCTGAACGTGCAGTCGTGGTCCGAGCGGCCGCGTACGCGCCCGCTTCTGCTCGAGAGCACCTACGGCGCTCGGCCCTGGGCCCCACCCCGCACATGTGCTGCAGGGGTCGCGCCACCTCGTCTGCTTGGGCTGCGCGTGCGGGCCCCCTCCGCCCCCACCCACGTCGTGTTCCCATCTGCATTCCTGTTCAGCCCTGCCCCTGGCCGCCCCAGCACCACCCTCATGCCCTCTTTTCCTCAATACCGAAGAAAAAACTGTCCATAGTGACCGGAGCCGGGACCCGCAGACCCCCGACTCCCCCGGCCCGGACTCGGCTCTCCTGACTCAGGAACGCCAAGGCGGCTGCGGCGCCGGCGGCCATGCTGCAAGGGCCGTCTGGGAGCTCCGCCCCCGACACGTACAGAGCGGGGAGCTCGCGGCGGGTTCCGGCCCCGCCCATTAAAGGAGCCGCTGGACTTGAGGGGAGGGACCTAGGCGTCACCAGTCCTGGGCTGCTTCGCCTGGGAGCTCGCGCGGCCCCCGGTCAGACTTCTGTTAGGACTGCAGGAAAGTAACAGCAGTGGATCTTTTTAATGTTAATATCCTTATTTCCATGACTACGGCTCTCGAGTGGTCACGGAGTGGCTCCTGCCTCCACTTTCTCTAGCTCTTCGCAGCCTCTGCTGTCTCCACTCCAGGGTAAGCGTTCGTTATTATTTCCAAAGTAGAAAAGTGGAATCCCTTCCAACACCCCCCTCGTAAAGGCGAATTTCAGGGCAGCGGTTCTTTAAGCATTTATTTTATTCATGAGAGACACACAGAGAGAGACAGAGACAGAGAGACAGAGATTCAGGCAGAGGGAGAGGCAGGCTCCATGCAGGGAGCCCGATGTGGGTGGGACTCGATCCCAGGACTCCAGGATCACGCCCTGGGCCAAAGGCAGACGCTCGAGCGCTGAGTCACCCAGGCATCCCCCAGGACTGCGTTTTTCTTGTAAAAGCATAAAAAATATGCTATTTGCCTTTGCTCCTAGAGCTGAGGATCCTGAAAGACTTTTCAGCTATGGTATTTTCTCTTGGAACTATGGAACCACTCGGTCCTCTTCCTAATCTAACATCTTAAGGTTACTACCCAGAGGGCCTATCTTTGAGCTTCAGGTGCTGGCTGGATGCTGACGGTTGCTAGCAAAGGACATCATCTCAGATTTGGGGCTGCTCTTCCTAGCAGACGTTTTGGAGTTTGTAATTCTGAATCAATCCAAACATCCTCCCACCTTAGACTCCTCCGTCACATAGTTTGGGCAACTCCCCGCAACCCCCATCATTCACCTTTTGACCAAAGAACCCGATAAACTGTGAAACTGTTCCTTATTCCACTAGATACAGGGAACTCATTTAAACTAGCTGCCCTAACTCACACCCAAGCTATTAACTGTGGGAAGAGGGTGGCTTGGCCAAGAACTACTTTTATATTTTACCTTGCCTTGGGGAAAATTTGGAAGTCTTTTACTGGTGATGAGAATGGGAAGGTGCAGCCCCTAACTTGGAACAGCTGTGGAGAATACTTGCTTGTAGATGAGGCATGAAAGCCAGGAGAAAAGGTACCAGGAAGAAACAAGTAGGTTTACACAGTACACCACCACACCACATTCACTTCAAGTTTTATTTTGCCTCTTGCATGGTCTTCAGATAGTTTTACAGTTCGTTTTCTACAGGAACTGAGCTGTGATCTAAACAATCAATGAAATGTCATTCCAACCTTAATAAATATTCATAACCATAGAAGAGAGCATAGCACTTTACCATCCTAAAATGGTGAAGGTATAGGTCTGGACATCTGTTTCATAGTTAGCATCTATGAACAGAAGACCAGTCAAATGATTAAATCAAGATAAGACCACAAGCAAACTTGCTAAAAATCCTGATTCCATAGATTTACCCTGAAATCCTCCAGATAAATGCTAGAATTGTCCAATAGTGTACAAAATGTACTTAAAAGAGACAACCAAGTGGCAATAAGTTGCTTTAAACAGTATCTTGTAGAAATCTCTTCCCTTAACCCCTGAAAATGCAAACTTGGTTCCAGCTTTCCAACACCATACCCTTCTAGCAGTTAAAGGTTTCTATCCCCAAAATGAAGAGGTCTCCTTCCTCCCCTCCCTTCATCTTACCAATTCAGTGCACACTCACAGGCCCTGGTTGAAAGTCCCTAGATATTACTAGGTACACTGCTTTTTCAAAGCCCACACTGATGGAACTTCATGAAGGAAGAAAAGGTTTCAGGTTTCCTTCTCCTTGCCCCTCCCACCTCAGCTCAAAGTCAAAGTCAAAGAGCTGATAACAAAACTTAGGAGAAGCAAGATAACAAAATACTGTTCTGAATCCATGGAAAAGTCAGCCAGCCATGATGAAAAAATGAATCCTGCAGAGATTACCTGCTAGCCTCATGCTCAGAACCCCTAAAAATACCAAATCTAAATCAAAATACATGGAGCTTTCAGAATGTGGTTAAAGGAAAAAGAAAAGCGTAACCATAAGTCATTGGTTAAAGTGTGCTCATTGTTTCTTTTAAAAATTAGATAAAAACATGCAAGAATTAAAGACTCTGATTTAATAAAACCAGTTGTAACAGGTCTTGAAATTAAAAGACAACTGATCTCAGGGCAAACGGGACCAATCAGTCCCTGAACCCTACTTGACAGATGTCTACACTAACATTTCACATGCTGACCTGCATCGAGGTTAATTTCCAGAAGTGACTGCACTTTGCAACAGATTGAGTCCCATAAAGTTAGGCTCTCGTACCCAAAGTGGTCATGGCCTAGCCCTAGGTGGGAGGCACTTCAAAAATAATAAAACTTCTAAAAAAAAAATAATAAAACAGGCAAAAGTAAAGAAAATCTACCTTCCATTGATTTACATTATTCAAAGTGCCATCCTGAACCACACCCTTTCATCTTCAAAAGGAAAAAAAATTACAAAAACAGTGAACACAAAGGATAGTCAGGTTACAGCTAGTTTATATACAAAAATTTACAAGTTTGCCATTTTTAGGCTTTTGCCACAAACAACTGCACATTTGTCCCTACAAAGCACAACATGCCTGAACCAATGGTCACTACAAGAGACAATTGGCCATGGCTTTACAAAGAGCAGAAGAACTGCCCCAAATTAAAATCATTTATTCAGCTTAAAACTATACCATAACCATCCCACTTGGAATCTCTACCCTGAAGCCTCTGAAACCTACTAAATCTTTCTCATCTCTGCCATGTCCCCAAAGAATGAAAGACATTTCATTCAATAAGCCAAAGAGGATGACAAATGATTCTGATTACTCTTAGGTGAGAAATGCAACCACACTGGATGCAGAACACAGTGCTGACTACATTTATTGAAGACCCCCTCCCTATAAGCCCACGTAAGAGGTCTTGGCACCTAACACAAGACCCAAAAAGGAGGCCCACATCTGTTTCAAACAGGATTTGCATCAAGACTATCTTCCAACCAGTGAGTAATCTCAAAGTGTGACGGGTGAGTTTTATAGTCTTCGTTTCCAATCCCAATTGGCTGATTTGTTGCCATTCCAGAGGCTGAACTGTATGAAGACCCCAACCACCACCCACCAGGTGAAGTTAAGAGACTTTCGAACAGTTCAAAGTGCCAACAAATGTCACAGGCTCCGACCAAGTATAACCACATCCTTTGGAAATCCTTCCATTTTTGCAATTTCAAAACAGCCTAGCTTGCTGTAAAATTCCAGAATTCTTTTATCATCTGGTCTCACTTCACAGAAAGCCCCCCGGGAGCCTGGAAATAAAATAAATATTCAAAATGTAAATGTCAATTAGAATCATGGGTAGGAATTGTGATGAATCCTTAATATATTTCAAATACATGATAGTAAGAGTTTGTCTATACCAGCCCCTAAATTTCATACAATTTTAAAACCCATATTAATATTTAATGAATATTAACAATACCAAATACTGCAGCAGAAACTATCTTAAGTGATAGATAGGTTAACTAGCTTGAATGTGATTAGTCTCAATGTATTTCAAATCATCAAATTGTATACAATTTTTAATTGTCAAAAATACCTCAATTAAAAAAAAAATACCTCAGTTTAAAAAATTGTCAGTGAAACTTTTCTCCAGAAAGAAAATCTTTTGAGAAAAAGATTAAAAGAAACCTCAAGACAAAAAATACCTGTTTTAATATTTTTATTATAAAGAACCTTTGACAGGCCTACAGAGCAAAGGTCATTCCAGCCTGTCACAAACCAATATAACCAGAATACATTATGTTGTATATTCTAAGGCATACCTCATCCACGTACGTGACTCAGTTCCAAGCACAACACTGAGAATTATGCTATTTTAAGACAGAGTTGTTTAAATTATTCCACAAAAGAGATACCAATGACTCAAATGATAGAAAGATGCAACAGTAAGTGCATTCCCATATACCAACCCTCTAAGGATTGGTCTCAAACAAGCTGCTCAATTTTGTACTGAACAAGAACAATTGCTTTTTAGATTTCTTAAAGGTTGTGTAAAAAAAGAATATTAGTAGGGACACCTGACCAGCTCACTAGGTAGATCATGTGACTCAATCTTGGGGTCAAGAGTTCAAGCCTCAGGCTGGACATAGGGCATACTTTAAAATAAACAAAGTCTAGAATATTTATTATCTAGCCCTTTACAGAAAAAAATTTCAAACCACTAATATAAAGCAAAATATTTCTAAAGGTTGAATGTGGAAAACAAACTCAAAATTTTGGCAACTCCACATTCCTAAATGAAGTTTCTCCCCAAGGTTCATTTAATTTTCAATTATCATAGTGAGCCTCATGGCAAAATAAATTTAACCTAGTATGTTCTCATTTCAATAGGGCTCAAAATAAGCATTTATAGTGTAAAAGAGCAGCATTTCCCAATTATCACTACATATGCAATGGTTATACCACTAATAATTCAGAAGCCAAACCACAAATGGTGGGGAAGGGAATGTAAACTCACCGTAATTTACTTTTTATCCTGTCCCCACTTAAGTCTAAACATCAGCAACTATACATATATGTACTCACCATTAGCCTTCAGTGAAGATAGGAGGCAAGCCATCATGCTTTTGGCTACACTTGGGTCGGTTACTTTTTTGTGAATATCCATCTTTATCAGAGAAGGGAAGTTGGCAAGGAAAGTCTCTGGCAACACTTCTTGCTCTTCATGGAAACTCAACATTATTTTCTGTAAAAATTTGAAAGAATCTGAGTTTCAGAAGTTACTCACTATACACATATCTATATCTCAACTACAGAACCTAGCAAGAGGAAAAGGAAAGCAACATTTAATAACTCTTCGAGTCATTATGTAATTATCACATGAAGAATTAATTAGCTTTAATTGTAGCATTTTCGCTTTGAGAAGTTTGTCTAAATAGAAAGTGATATCCTGGATTGGATCCTGGCCCAAAACAGGACATTAATGTAAAAACAAGTTAGTAAAATGTGATGCACCAAAGTTGGTTTCTTAAGACTTGGACAAATGTAGAAAATGGGTGAGGGATATAAAGGAACTCTCTATAATCTTTGTTAGATCTAAATATATTTAAAACAAAAAATAAATTTGTTTGTATTGCCTGCACAAAAATGTGGATGTAAAAAACATAGACACGCTGGTCATTCTTTATATGTTCCTATACTGAAAACTGTAATTGTCAGATATGAAGTAACAAATCAACAGCTCAATCATCAGCATTCTGTAGTTATAGTATCTGTGTACTCCCAAGTACATGAAGGCCACTCTACTCCACCCTCTTATTACATAGCCATCTGGCTAGGGATAGAAGGTAAAAAATAGTAATAAACTGTAAGAGAATATACGTACGTTGGTATGGAGAAAAGAAGTAAACAACTTCAGAAAAGAAAAAAAAGTTTAAAAATGAATCAGTGTTCTAAATCACCATAAGAGCTATTCTAGGAGATATTGTCTAGAAGGTTGAAGGGGATTTCTGGGGTTCTAGTATGTTCCTTGATTTGGGTCCTGGTTACACAAGAGTGCTCATTTTATGTACAATAAATAAAATAAAGTTGAATTGTACAGTTAAGATTTGAATATTTTATGGTCTTCCAAATACACACAGTAAAAAAAAAAAAAAAAGGAAAGAGGAACATGGAAGAAAAAAGTCACAAATAAAAGGGTCCAAATATGTATCAAAAAGTATTTATTGAGCATAAATATCAAGAAAGAACTATTTTTTAAAATACACATGATGTATAAACCAAAATAATCATAAATTGTAGAGGAGAAATTCACTGAAGTTGGTACACAGCTGACATATGACTTCAGAAGTGCTCCTATCTGGGGGCACCTGGGTGGCTATAGGTTAAGCATCAGACTCTTGATCTCAGCTCAAGTCTTAATCTCAGGGTCATGAGAGCAAGCCCAGAGTTAGCTCCATGCTAGGTGTGGAGCTTACTTTAAAAAAAAAAAAAAAAAAAAAGTGCTCCTTTCTGAAAACAGGCTTCCAGAGCAGCCTGCCTCTATTACTTTTTTTTATTACAATGAGAAATACATTACTGAGAAGGCAAGTGGGTCTCCTGACAACCAAGCAAATGAGATTTTAATGACATGAACTTGACCTGATCCCCAAGAAGAGACCATTTAAATTTGGTGCTTCAACACAAAGAGGAAAAACATTAGGTCTATATTGTTTTTACTTGAGGACGTATTATAACACTTCTAAATTTAAAAAAAGAACTCCATAATGCTGAGGGAACAAAGGAGAATCTCATGTTTTTTTTTTTTAAGATTTTATTTATTTATTCATGAGAGATACAGAGAGAGAGAGAGAGAGAGAGAGAGAGAGAGAGACAGAGACAGAGACACAGGCATAGGGAGAAACAGGCTCCATGCAGGGAGCCTGACGTGGGACTCGATCCCGGGTCTCCGGAATCAGGCCCTGGGCTGAAGGCGGCACTAAACCGCTGAGCCACTCGGGCTGCCCAAGAATCTCATGCTTAAGGGGGTGCCTGGGGAGCTCAGTCAGTTAAGTGTCTCATTCTTGATTTCAGCTCAGGTCATGGGATTGAGCTTCACATTCAGCAGAGTCTACTCTCCCTCTACCCTCCCAAAATAAATACATTTTTTTAAGGGGGGGGTAAGGCACCTGGGAGGCTCAGTTGGTTAAGCAGCTTTTTTTTTTTTTTTTAATATTTTATTTATTTATCCATGAGACACAGAGAGAGAGAGAGGGAGGTAGAGACAGAGGCAGAGGGAAAAGTAGGCTCCCTGTAGGAAGCCTGATGTGGGACTCTGATCCCAGGACCCTGGGATCACGACTTGAGCCAAAGGCAAACACTCAACCACTGAGCCACCCAGGCTCTCTAAGCATCTGACTCTTGATTTTGGCTCAGGTTGTGATCTCAGGGGTCATGTAATCAAGCCAAGCATCAGGCTCCAACCTCAGAACAGGTTCTGCTTGTCCCTCTCCCTCTGCTCCTCCCCCCTACCCGTGCTCTCTCTGAAATAAACTAATTAAATCTCCCCCCTCCAAAAAAAAAGTTCTGATACACTAAAAAAAGGTATGTTAAGAATAAGTAAGAATTCAGGACGCCTGGGTGGCTCAGTGGTTGAGCGTCTGCCTTTGGCTCGGGTCGTGATCCCAGGTCTGGGGATTGAGTCTGGCATTGGGCTCCCTGCAAGGAACCCACTTCTCCCTCTGCCTATGTCTCTGCTTCTCTTTCATGAATAAATAAAATCTTAAAAAAAAAAAAAAAAAGGAATAAGAATTCTTTTCTGTAGGACACGTAGAAAGCACGGAGATTTTAAGATATATCTGCTTACTTTATTTACAAAAAATTACTGTAGTATAACTCTAAACCTGTTATTACCTCAGCCTCAGAGAGTTCTTTGTCACCATTTGGCTTGGTATACTTCTCCTGCATGAAGGGAATCCAGGAAATTTTACATTTTTTAATGAAGGGGGTCACATCTACAGTGCCCAGGGCATAACCACATATGCCATCTTCATCTTCTAGGACAAAACAGTAATCCAGGCTAAGGGAAAGCAGGCCTCCTACTAACCTGTTCAGAAGAAAAGAAGGCAGAGTGAGTTTTTAACACAAAACTTTAGACTCCAGTGATGTAAGGCCTAATGTACTTGAAAGGCAACCTATGGAAACTACATTTGGTGTAAGAAGAAACTGAAAATACACACATATTAATATTTAGATTCTATTAAAACTAAAGTGGGATTTCTAGAAAACTTTATTTCTAGTCATCACCTCCCCTCAACCTGATAAACCTGGCTATGAAATGCTACTCCCAAATCCAACAAATCCAAATACTTCATCACATACTTGTCTCCAATAAGGTCAGGCTGACTTTGAAAAGGTAAACCCACTCCATCGTCATACATTTCTCTGCAAATCTTGTACACGGAAGCCTGAAAATATAATCTAGTTAAGCAACACATCAAGAAAAATAGCAACAGAATTTTACAATGGGTCTCGTAAGTTAGACTGGACTTCTAGGATAGGGAATAACAAAATGCCTAGCCTGTCATAAATGTCACCTCTGCTTTAATACAAATTTATTCACTGAATCATATTTATAAAATCTGTAGAAAATAGTATGGTTTTAGTAAACCAGAAAACAGTTTTGCAGGGGATAGTTTTAGATAGTTAAGCAGTAGATTCAAAATGCAGCAAACAATGCTGTTGAGTTTCTCAGTTCTCTTTATGTCCAAAATGTTTTAAACGTGTTACTGTTTGTTAAACACGTCTGCTGTTTCCTGTAGCTGACTGTCAACAGCTTGTTAGATACTCGACAACAGAAAATTACGAATACTAATATACTAGAGAATCAGCCAAGGACAACGTATCATTTGGACACACTGATTATTTTGTCATTCCAACTCTAAAGGTGACTTTCATAAAGGAGGACTTACAGGACTTAGCTCAAGAGATTTTTCTTTAAATATCACCCCTCACATGTTCAATGTCTTAGCTAAGTTTTTCCACCTAAAGTTCTTATTTGAACACAAAGAACTACTTCTTTTTTTCTTTAAAAATATGGAACACTTCACAATTTGCATGTCATTCTCGCATTGGAGTCATGCTAATCTTCTCTGTATCATTCACAATTTAGCATATGTGCTACAAAGCAAGCATCAGAACCGATTCTTTTAACCAGGGAGTTCAAAGGTGGTAAGTGAGCACCATAACCATATACCAAGTGGGTAGGTAGACAATTACCTCATCTTTAGGAAAATATGGTCTTATAGTATAAACTTTGGAGGTAGGAGTCAGTGGGGGTGGTTGAAAAAAGAGATCATTTGCCCCATCAATTGGCAGCAAACGCTGTGGGAAGAAACAAAAAGGAGATGGATTAGTGTTGGGAAGATATCCATTTCTTTAAATGGGTGTGCACTGCAGATTACCAACTTAACATTAACTGGCTACTGCAGGCAGACCTAAAGAAGAGGGGTGTTCTATGCTCTACTAAAATAAACACCTCTTTGCTGGGGGAAGGGGTGCTTCTGAATAGAAATTACCCAAACTGAGTTACATAGCTTTAGTAGCATATTAATGGGGATTTAAGTTTATAATTTAAAAAAAAAATCTATTCCAGTATCACAAATCTATTTTTTTAAACCAATTTTATATAGACCATCTCTGTACTAAAAGATGGCAGAACAGAATGTCAGGAGGAGAGGTTTGGTCTGAAGAGGGTTATCTGTCCAGGAGACGCTTTATCCCCAAAGCAATGCGCTTCAGTTTGCTGTGCGCAGCAGAGCACCTGTTGGGGGGAGAAAAGTAGAGCACCTGAAAAGTCCATGAACAAATTCCAAAACCAAAAACGCTTATTTTGTTCAAATTTTCATTAACATAGTGTTATTTTGAGTACAATTTTTATTTATAAAATAATTGGGAAGGTATCCAAAAGTCCTTTCACCATTCACTTGCATAATTATTCATCCTTTTTGCTCATGGAGTTTCCACTGGCAAACAAGCATGCGCGCATTGTGCATTGCGGGCGCAGATTAAAATGGTGTGCGACCTGCAAAGAAACAATGTGAAGTGTATACCTAGAGCCGCTGCGCTTCGCAGGCGCGGGGGGAATTGGCAGCATCTCCTTCAGAAATTACTGTGAAAGAGGAGGAAAATTTGATTTAAAATCCAGCTATGTAACTAAATTGAATTTGGGACTAGAAAGCCTTCGGCAGACCAATCCTTCCAGCCATCTGATGCGCAACATAAGGTTTCTCATAAAACAAAGAAAATGTCAATTCAGTTGTGAATTCATATTGATACCTGGAACTCTCCTGCTAGACCACCTCTAAAGGCCCAGGGTTCTTGGTCTCCAATTAAGAACTGTGCTGAAGAATGACTACGACACCCTGTTGAGATCAGATCCAAGCGGAGAACGTTACGAGAAAGGGGATTTCCTGGGGTCTCAAACGTCCAACAAACTAACAAACACTTTGTGGAAATAGCTCTCTAACAATAATAATCCAGGGTTTTAGGACAAGGCTGTGATAATAATTTTTTTTAAATTTGTAATAGAATTTCAATACTGATGTTTCTTCTTCTGATTAATGAATAATTACCGTTAAAGAGTTCTACCCTTTAATTATAAGAAAGTCAGTCTCAAGTTTGGGTCAAGTTTACATATTCCCTAGATACAGCTGTAGAAAGAAGAAAAAAAAAATCAAGCCAGCTGCATGCTCTGTAGTGAAATTACAGTAATTATACAATGAAATGAATGAGATAGATAAAACATTTTATTATCACAGCCCATGAAGGAATTAAACCTGTCTGAAGTCACATTTTACATTATGAGGAAGGGTACAGGAAGGGAAAAAGGGGGAAGAGGGGATTAATCTTGTCAGAAAACTAAGGTCAGCAGAATAAACAGAAGAAATTTTTCAGTAAGTTGACAACAAAATACAATGAAAACTTTATTTTTTCTAAAAGGACAATCCAATTCAGACTTGGTTAATACCAACAGCAGTCAGACAAATTCTAAGAACTAAGGAGAGCCAACTGACACTCCAAATTTATTCAGAGCTAAGATATACTTTTCTTAAAAGTATGACAATATCTGGCTCCTGATGGACCATTACAATCTTTGCAGTGCACTGAAAACATGCACAGAGCTGCAAGGTTTGAGGTCCAGAAGTCAGGATTAAGGTCACCACTTACCCAACTTCAAAGGCAATAAAGGGTAACTAACAAGAAATAATTGAAAGCAAATATTTGGAGGCCAAATCAAAATCACCTGCCTAGTCTTCTGACAAGATAAAGCAGCGCAATATAGTTCTTTTCCATTTGAAGACAGCATTCTACCTCCTGTTCAAGTTAACAGTCTCATCAGTACAAGATATAGTGTGCTAGTCAGACAGTCCCAAAGCAAACCAATTTTTTTGTTCATAATTCAGGCCCATTAAGAGATTATATCCAGGTTTGTCATTTTTTTAGGGGTAGGGGTGCTTTAAGAACACATATAATATGTAAATTTATAAGATAAATACGAAATAGGGTCAAAATTTAGGGTAAGAGAATGTGCCCCATTCCATAGCTCAGTGTAAATTTACACTGCAGGAAAAAACTATACTCTCAAACTTTAAGATCAGCCAATTTCCCCTACCCCCCACTTTGAGACTACAACGTAACTAGCACTTCCAACTATTACAATAAAAAGCTGCATGTACGAAGAGCTGTGTAAATGAAAACATGGTTAATGCCTCAGTCGCTGCGCAAACGTGACTTCAGTTCATGCCTACTGCCCTTAAATCTGAGCTACCTCACAGATAGAACCTTTCAATTTAAACTAATTAATCATGACGCGCTGTGAACATCTGCCGCTGTCCATCCAATAGTAGTAGACACTTGTGCTGAGGATTCTCCCATCTGTACACAATGGGGAAGAAGATAATAGAAGTCGTTAGTAATCAAAAGTACTGCATAGCCACATTCTTTAAAGGACTGAATGCCAGCTGGACTGGAGAGAGGAGGAAAACAAAGGGTTCTAATCAGTAACTCCCTGAAATTACTATAAATCCATGAAAATACTCTCCTTGTCGTGAGCTTTTTGTGAAGCTATGTGGATGCTAAGACAATTATTTAAAACTTCTAAGATACTCTGACCTTGAGATTATACAATGGCTATCTAACAATTTAAGAAACTGCCCCGATATTTGCACAGTACAGAAGTAAAACCTGAGAGGAAACAAAACAATACTGTATGTAATCAAGAATTTAATTTTTAATAATTCTTGAATTAAAAAAGCTCAATATCAAATGTTTTAAAAGATACTTTCCCAAGCTCAAGAATCCAGATTTCAGACTGGAAACTTAATATTTAAATCCCTGCAAGAGATTTAATTATAACCCTCTGGCCAGAAGCCTGGAAGGCAAATACTGTCATCCAATAACCAATATAAAGGTTCTTCCAGAGCCAAAACACAGACATCACATAAAAGAGGTGTCTTGGTGTCTTTTAACAAAGGTTAAATTCTCTCTTCTATCTGTTGTGCTAAATGTACAGAAACCCAAAGTTCTTTATTTTAAAACTAACAGAGACCCCACCCTTTAGCTGCTAATTAGTTGTCAAAAGAAAGCTATTACTTTTAAAAATCCAAAAGTATACAGGCAGAAAGTGAGAAATCTCACTGCTACTCCTCCTTAATCTAAGCTCACAGTGTTTCACACATCTATTTCACAACCAAGACCTAGTCACCCATCATAGTATTTGTGACTACTATGAAAACTATGACATGTCAGTTAGCCTTGCTGCCTGCTGTGTGCTGTATGTAAGTCCATTACATATTCCTTATAGCTGGATTGAAAACCTGGAAATGAAATGAGGTCCCTGGAGAAACTTGGCCATGCTGGTGCTTTTTACCAAGTTTGAGAATTTCCAAAAAAAAAATTCAGTTTTCAAAAGAGACATACAGAGAAGTCCATTTAATGAAGGAGAGAATTTTCAGGGGATTGCAATTTTCATCCCCTGCTAAAAACCAATTACTTGGTAGCAGAATAAAAAAGCCAAGTGAAATAATACCAAGTAGCACCAGAATAGCCTACCACTAAAGCTCGCATGCGCACAGGGCTGGGAGGATGGCTTCCTCTTGCCAGGCCCCTTAGGTCATTTCAGCAATTGTTCTGTTAAACACAGCAATTAATGTTACCAAGACACAGCAAGCAGCAGAGAGCTTACAGTCACAATTCATAGTGTCTCATCTCCAAATCAGATAAAAGTGGTATACAGGGTTCCATCCAGGAAGCATTCAGTCAGAGCAAGTTAAAGTCAGTACTTCTCTAATATATTTTTAAGGTATTTATGTTGAATTAGCCCAAGGGAGAAAAATCAGTGTGCTTGATATATTTATGGAGACTTGCACCTCAAGTCTGCCAACAATGGCTATACCTTTGAAAGAATTCTAAGCAAAGAATTTAAACAGCTGGAAATTTGCCAATTCCTTAAATATTTTTCTCCCTGTGGGATAATTTTTTTTTCATTTTTAGGGGACAATATATCTGAGGAAAAGAGATTATTCCTGGTGCACCTACCTAACCACTGTACAAAAGACTTCACCATAGACATTATACTCTTGATATCCCAAACATAGGAGTACATGTCATAAAGGATTGTCCTGTTGGCACAATTGGAGAGCCGAGTGAACATTCCCATCACCAGTCCGCACATTTCCTCAAACTTGGCTGCTCGTGACCGCCATTCTTCAATCTATTGAAGATCAATAAAAATATGACTCAAAAAACTGCAAAATAAACCAAAATAACCTAAAACATAATTATACACTTTTTATTATCAGGTACCTGCAATTTATCCTGAACATTAAGGATCACTGAGCTTAAACTCTTTAGACAAACAATAAAAATCTATGTCTCCCCAAACTGACAGATGTTACTAAAATAATCAACTGTGACTTTCTTCCATTCTTCACTCTAAGGTCAAACTATGGAACTCTATGTACCGGAATCAGCAGAGTCCACATTCCCTTTAGAGCATATTCTAAGATGTGGTCAAATTTCAGCTAGTTACCAGTATATATTCATTTAAGACCTCCTCCATACCATCACATGGGGACCCACCCACGCTAGAGAAGTGGATAAATTAAGCATACTTACTTTTTCAGAGTCTTTTC